CCCAGATGAGAACAAAATATTTCATTATAGTGCACATTGAGCATCTCATCAGGATGAAAATGGGCAAAATAAATTCAATTTATTATCATTATTATCAAATATATCTTTTAACATAGCAAATGAAACAATCATGCAGCTGACATGAGGGGAATCGGGATTTTTTGTTTATTGTTTGTTTGTTTGAGGTGGGTGGGGAGCCTGGGGTAGACCTTAATCAATGCCATAACAGGTTTTAAAAATGTAAGTAGGACAAAAACATGTTCAACTAGTCGGGTCAGCATAATTGGACTGTGGTGGAAAATCGAACTGGCCACTTATCTAACTTAAATCAGTGCTCGAATAAACATCTACATGACATTATGGTTCCCAGGAGCAACTGACTCACGCATATAATATCAATAAATATCTGCCTTGGTCAAAGAGAAATGGTATGCGCCTTTAGCTATGTTAGCATCATATGTGGCAATGGTGAGGAGGACCTTGGTTACTGCAGTCATTATTGGGACCTCTACGTAGTGCTGCAGACCCCAGAACAAGTACAGATCCGGGCCGAAAGACAATCAACCCCTGGACTCAGACAGGAATGGAGGCCACCGGGTTTTTGTCAGGAGGCACAGTCGAACCGGTTGATCTGAGTCTCCTGCTAAAGAAAAACACGAGACTGGGCCCGGATGTACTATGGACGATGCCGCAAGAGGCTGCCTCCTATCTGTCTGCCTGCGGCAAATCGCCACCCTCCTAACGGAGGCTAGCCAGAGGAAAGGAAAGGAAAGGACCTTGGTTCAAAATCCCAAAGGGCCGTTCTTGAACTTGGATAATTTTGGGGGAAGTTTACGAGGCTCACCTCTCCAACTACTTTGCTCATCCCTATTGGAGATGGACGGTACATCCTGCCTTTTAACTAAATACCTTACAGCATTGAACGAGGCATCAAGCCAATACCATAGTATGCCATGACTATTGGAGACGGATATCAAAATTAGGAGGTCTCGTCTTCTAAGTAACCTAACAGTATTTAATAAGGTGTCAGACCTGTACCACCATGTACTAAAAGTGAAATAGAATACGTAAACTAACGTTGGTGAATGTAGTTAGATCCCGTACAATCGGGGAAGGAGTGGAGGTTGGGGAGTGGTGAGGGGACTGATGAAAGTGTAGAAAGTGCAGAACACAGATGAAGGAAGCACGATCGTTAACTCCACCAAGAATTTTATGAGAGAGAGGAAGGAGAAAGAGATAGATAGAGAGAGCGCAGGGAGAGAAAGAGAGAGACAGACAGACTCAGACAGACAGACAGGGAAAGAGGGAGGGGGGAGGAAGGAGAGACAGGGAGATGGAGAGGCACAGATAGAGAGAGGAGGGATAGAAAATGGGGAGGGAGAGACAGGGAGAGAAGAGGGGGCGAAAGAAAGGTAGGTGGGGAGAGTGAGAAAGAGTCAGGGAGACAGAGACAGAGACAGAAAGGAAAAGAGAGTTAAAAAGAAAGAAAGAGAGACAGAGAGAAATTGGGATGGGGAGGGGAGAGACAGACAGACAGATACAGAAAGAAACAAAGAAAGAGAGACAGAGAGAACAAGGTTAGGAGAGAGAGAGGGGGGGGGAGGCGAGCGAGGAAGAAAAAATGGGCGGGAAAAGGGGGTGGGGGGATCAAAGTGCCTACGCCTCAGTAGTCAATGTGCGGCCAGCGAGCTCTCACCTTGATGAACACAGACTGCAACACCTGGAATGCCTGGACGTTCCTCACACTCACACCTAGGGGAGGAAGAAAACAAGAACTGGTTAGTGCTGGATAGGGAGGGAAACCGCATTAAGGCTGTATTCTATATGGAGTTTATAGGTAGTTCGAGAGAGAGAGAAAGAGAGGGAGAGAGAGGGAGGGAG